TTTTGTTTTGTTTATTTGTTTGGGGATTTTTTGTTCTTGTTGTTGTGGTTGTTGATGTGCATGGGAGAGGGGTGGGGTGTTATTTAATGTCGCACTAGAACAGTTATTACAATTCTAAAAGAAAGGCTGAGATCGGTCCTAACCAATTCAACATTGGCCAAATAATTATCTCGTCTCGTAACTCTGTTCATGTTCTACATAAATAAAACAAAAGCAAATATTAAATGTCAGTCTCCGTAGGGGGATGGTCAGTGCTGGACCTTTTGTCTGACCTCTGAGTACAACAAAAAAGACCATCCCACTTTAATGTTTTCTCAAATCTAGAATGACCACTTCAGGCCAACTTCTGAATGCCAAACAATGCGTTCCCCCCTGGTTATAATTGCTGTCAATTACTGATATCTTTGAAGATCTTTTATCACCAGCCCCCATGCCTGTCGGACATAGCTGTGCGTTGTTTATAATCAGCTCGGGTAACCATTGATCTGGCCATACATCAAAGCTCGCGTTGTTTGCTGCAGTAGTAGATTTCATTACAATTTGAATAGATAATGGACTTTATTTTTCAACAGTTTTGATCAAGCATTGGCGAAACATTCCACTGTGCCCTTTGTGGCACTTGCAGGGGTTGAGTGACGTCATTGTGGAGGATGTGTGGTTGTGTGGCTCTCGCCCATCCACTGAAACCCTCCGTCCAAAATCGGATAGGTTTTCGGTAGCTCGAGGAAGACTTCGCCATGGTGAGATTCGGTCGAGATCCTCAGGCACAAGTCCTGGGTATTATATGTGTGTCACCACATTTAGGCAGATCAGGTCCCCTGTGTTATGTGTGTGTTTCCACCCCCACCCCACCCCGATATGTTCAAGTCAGAATAGGTCCCCTGCATCTTTTGTGTGCGTGCGTGCGTGCGTGCGTGCGTGTGTGTGTGTGTGTGTGTGTTTTCCCGGTGATATTTTCAAGTCAGAGTAAGTCTCCCGTACTAGGTGTGTCTTTCCAATGGAATTTCGAGGCGAGTCGGTCAACTTTAGTGCATGTTAAGAATAAGTTGCGAACAAATATTTAGTTTAGATAGACTTTTATTGATACAAACTCGAACCTAGCTGTATATTCTTTCACAAGCATTACTACTTCTGGTACTATTATTACAACTACTACTACCGCTGCTGCTGCTGCTACTACTACTACTACTACTACTACTACTACTACTACTACTACTACTACTACTACTACTACTACTACTACTACTACTACTACTACTACTACTACTACTACTACTACTACTACTGAGGGTACTGATACTACCCCTACTTCTACTACAGCAACTGCTACTAAAACTGTCGGTGGGGTAGCCAAGTGGTTAAAGCGTTCGCCCGTCACGCTGAAGACCATTGCTGGTGTCCCCAGCCGTGACATGGCTGGAATATTGCTAAAAGCGGCGTCAAACCCAACTCACTCACTGCTACTACCACTGCTGCGACTGCTACCAACACTACTTCTAACACAATTACCACTGTAATTGCTACTGTTTCCGTTACCACTGCTAATACTGCCCTGCTACTTCCGCTACATTTACTGCTGCTGGTACTACTACTACTACTACTACTACTCCTGCTGCGGCTACTACTAATACTGAAGTTCTGCTGCTACTACTGCTGGCAGTACTAATACTGCCGCTGCTACTTCCTTCGCTACATTTACTGCTGCTGCTGCTACTACTACTACTACTACTTTAACTTTAAACCTATTTTATTCGAAAATGAAATGGATTGGGTACAAGTTATCCAACTTAGGAACGCCCTTTCCCAGAAGTTACATATGTCATATTTACAATATAAAAAACATTGACAACAGGGATTTGTGGAAGGAATGTACAAGGTATTTAAAGAGGATGTGTATAGTATATACAAGAATAAACCTACAAAATTCTTTCAGTGAGCTTAATATATCTATGTACATGTTCAAATAATAATTCATTTCCATATAGTGATATTGTAACATGACCAAATAACAATAAATCTAGATTAATGGGTATGCGATGTTTAACGACAGTATTTACATTTGCAAACAAATCTTTACGCTGCGTTGTGTACAAAGAACATTCTAAAAGATAATGCCATGAATTTTCACAAAACACAACCACAAGTACAAGAAGCATCTGATCTTAAATTAATTCTGAATAAATCGTAATTAAGCGGACTTGTATTGTACCTTAGTTTTGTGTGAAAAATGTTCAGTTTCCTTGTACCAGACCAAAGAAAGGTGGGGCTGCATTTATTTTATTTTGAATTTTCAAGTTAAACCCTGCTAAAGAATCTATATTTCTTATTTCTATGGGAACTTTGTTCCACATTCGTATAGTCGTATACTACTACTACTACTACTACTACTACTACTACTACTACTACTGCTGCTGCGGCTACTACTAATACTGAAGTTCTGCTGCTACTACTGCTGGCAGTACTAATACTGCCGCTGCTACTTCCGCTACATTTACTGCTGCTACTACTACTACTACTAATACTAATACTCCTGCTGCGGCTACTACAAATACTGAAGTTCTGCTGCTACGTTTGCTACCAGTACTACTAATACTACCGCTGCTACTTCCGGTATATTTACTGCTGCTGCTACTACTGCTGCTACTACTACTACTACTGTTACTACTACCACTGCTGCTACTGCTGCCAGTACTACTACTGCTGCTAATGCTCCTGATGTTACTACAGTCGCGCCCCGTTTATCCGAACACTTGTGGTTTTCTTGAAATTGTTCGGATAAACGAATTTTCGGATATCTGAACCGAGGACCATATGGAAAAGACAGACAAACAAACGAACATAATAAGCCTCAGACGTATTCTTTATTGATCAACAAATAATCTGAAAATGACGACTGATAGTAGCATAAAGAATCATACTTAACTGTCGCTGTAATGGATTTCTCAAAACATAATTAAATAATGAGCCAAATCCCATCGCCGAATTAGCGAAAACAGCAATGTGTGTTGTGGCCGCCATGGAAATTGGTCACATGACAGATGGTTTGATACAAAACAGATTACCATGAAACGACTCGGAAAGAAATAATACAGCAGTATTTTATTTATTCATTAAGATTTTATTTACCAGTACATCATGAAGCGAATAGTCACTTAACACTCAATCATCTCATTCACAACAACCCGGCTTGTTTGAAATCACAAAGAGCTTCATATACAGTAGAAGTTAATCTCATCTGTCTGTCAAATGCTAGCAACCAATCACGAAACAGTTCTGATGTCATCCACGCTTTTGCATTGTTCCTGTACCCAACATAAACCTCCGGATTGAAATCACTGCCAAAACAACGGGGACGTCTAGCCTTGCCAATAACAAGTGACAGGCCTCAAGATTAACTCAGTGTCACCTTGCTAATTAAGGGCAGTTAATCCTTTCACCCTTCAAAGAATGCCGGCTTGTAACCCTTGTTTCATGTTAGGGCACGCAAGGCCACTCGGTAAAATGCGCGTGTAAACATACTGACAGGTGCTCAGCCATCCGGATATACGAGAAAAAAATGCATATGATTTAGCATTTGGTATGTGAAAATGACCATCCGGTTACGGAAACCGGATTTCCGGTTAAGTGAGTAGTTTTACAACGTTGTGAATTCGTTTTAATGAATTTTCGTTCGGAAGGCGAGTTTTCCGGATATCTGAGGTTCGGATAAACGGGGCACGACTGTACTACTATTACTACTACTAGTACTACTACTACTATTACTGGTGCTGTTGATACGACTACTCCTGCTGCCGCTACTACCTGAGATACGAATGAAATGGGTTGATGGTGACTGAGAGTAATGATCCTTGACCAACGCCTTCTGTTTAGCTTATTGAACGATCAAAGACTATGTGTATTCGTTAGTGTCTCTCAAAAACTGGAGGGTCCACTTTAGTGTCCACTCAATCCCATGACCGTCAAGAATGTCTAGAAGTGAAATACGTGGTTAAGAAAGATATATTTTTGAGGCGCTTCTTACAATCCAACGCCGCGCTGTTTTAACATAGTGACAGAAGTCACAGCTATTTACAGACTCTGAGGTTCAGTGGGTAAGGCGTCTGCCCAGGGAGCGGTCGGTCGATGGTTCGCGCTTTACCTAAAGTCGTTAAAGATGGCACTTGTTGTTACCCTGCCTTGGGGCTCGACATGGTACTAACGGGATAAAACAAGGAGTGGTAAACCGGACTTCAGTACAAAGTCGTCAAATCACACGCTCGTTCGTGCTTCAATAATCTTGAACGCGACATTAAACCAAATTTCATCTGACGTCATAGGCGTTCTACCTTACTACCAGCTCGTGTAAGATAATTACAGTCAAAGGTCATGTTAAATCGCAAATAGAAGTCTACAGGACCACGTGACTGTATATCAGTTTTCCAGTACAGCCCCTTCCTTTATCTTTGATTCAAAAGTTTTGAATTTTAAAGATCAAATCCAGATTTGGAAGGAAGCGACCCAAACCAGTAATCAAACGTATGACGAACATGTTATTCGTACCTATGAAACAAATCGTAGCTTTGGTATTAGCTAAACGATAATGATCCACAACCTTTGATAGGCCTCAGCAAAACAGTACAGGGGAGATAACTCTTACTATTGGCCTGTGACACTCACCTGTGTACAGCTTTAATTATTGTGACCGAACTTACTAAACTCTGCACAACGTAGCGACGTCATCAACCACCAAGACGGAGACAAATTGACACAAACCTCATCTGTCCGTGCACAATTACATATTTTATGAAATAAAAAAGACGGAATGAAATTAGTATAGTCCTCATTGAAACAGTTATGTCAAACTAGTGTGAAACAGGTCATATTAACATGTCAACATGCCCAATGTTACCAGTCCGTGCCCTCGTGCTATAGAACAAGGCAATGCTTTATCTTAACACATCTGCTGCAATGAATAGACACAAATTATCTGTTCAGAAATTTCCCACAGCGATAAACCTTATATATACCTCAGAGATACGGTGAGAGCCATTTCCTCTCTGACAATGGGCCCGCAAGGAACTCTCGTACTTGTCCTTCTGTGTGCCTACGGAGCCGTCTCCCTGATCGCCCCGTGAGTACACACGCCCTTGTATATCAAAATGTCGGCGTTAGAGACAATATATCCTGAGAGAAACAAATAATGGACCACAGGAAAATTCACGCGTTCCTTTCATATTTTCCAGTTTTTCCTCCTCCTCAACGCTGGTAATGAAACCTGGAAAATATTAAAGAAACGCTTGAATTTTCCTGTGATCCTTTATTTGTTTCTCTCAGTATATGTACTACAGAAATTGATACAGAAATTTATCAAAACATTGTAAGCTACATAAAGTTACATCGCAAATGTTGCTGGAGTGATTTACCAAGGCTCATGTAGATATGAAACATGAACATTTATGGCCTTTTTAAGGGGTTTAATGTTCCCAAGCCTTTTTATTTGATTGTGAGCATTAGTCGGTCACAAATGTTCCAACAAAATCTATTTCAAAACCGAAAAAATCAATAATTCAGCCTTTGTCTCGCAAATATATCTGTGCAATGAACCTCTTCCTTGGTACATATTTTTGTGCGTCTAAATACTTTAATAAGTGTTTCACTTTGTACAAATTCATGCATTTCAAGCTATTTTTGTGATTTTCAAAATATTTTTCGTTGGTGCCTTAAATTTCAGGCAATGTACTCGTTAGTTTTTGCGATTCCTTCGAGTTTTCAGAACTTTGTTGCGAGGTTTTAGGGGATTTGTTGCTTTGATTTGTACAGACAATAACCTCTTTGTCAATAAACAATCACAAAACTACACTCTCAACTCCCAAATATTGTTTGCTGAACTGACCCGTGATGACCCGGGTTAGAATTGGTCTTCAGAAACCCATGCTTGTCGTAAGAAACGACTAACGGGATCGTGTGCGTGCGCGTGGGTGGTCAGCGTGCTCGCTTACTTGATTGACACATGTCATCGTGTCCCAGTTGCGTAGATCGACGTTCATGTTGTTGATCGCTGGATTGTCTGGTCCAGACTCGATTATTTACATACTGCCGCCATATAGCTACAATATTGCTGAGTGCGGCGTAAAACTAAACTCACTCACTCAATCATTGCTGAATTAATCCAACTCCAAAATCAGATTTGGGAATGTGGAGTTATCCCTCTTATGCCGATCGTCATTGCACACTGCGCATTTCAGGCAAACAAGTTATATCAGTTCACAAATTTGGCTTGAGTTTTAACGGTATTCTCAAGATGTAGATCTGTTAGATTTCGGGATCGGTAACCTACTACTATATATACTTTACGCGTTAAAGGACTGATTTTATAGAAGGATCAAATTGGAATAAAGATCAGATTTTTAATGTCTTTTGGATGTTTAAGGTGCGGCTTATGCGGGGATGAAATAGACATCACAATCATCGCCCAGAACTTCCTCAAGCCCCCGTTCTTCAACTACACCGTGAACGTGCACGGCGAACCACAGAGTGAGCTGATCTACTTCCTGCAGAAGGCGGCAGACATCGATGAACACCTCAGGTACAATATATACACCTCGGGTACAATATAAACACCTCGGGTACAATATATACACCTCGGGTACAATATAAACACCTCGGGTACAATATATACACCTCGGGTACAATATAAACACCTCGGGTACAATATATACACCTCGGGTACAATATAAACACCTCGGGTACAATATATACACCTCGGGTACAATATAAACACCTCGGGTACAATATATACACCTCGGGTACAATATATACACCTCGGGTACAATATAAACACCTCGGGTACAATATATACACCTCGGGTACAATATAAACACCTCGAGTACAATATATACACCTCAGGGCAAATATAAACACCTCGAGTACAATATAAACACCTCGGGTACAATATATACACCTCGGGTACAATATATAAACACCTCGGGTACAATATATACACCTTGAGTATGAATTATTGTAGTTTACCTTAAATTACAGTTAATCCTCTTAAAATATTATGTCGTATATTATACAGGTGTGTTGGAGTGGTTGGACAATATAAAACAGAGTTCTATTCTCGTAAATCACGTACATATTAAGTATTGTAGTTTACCTTAGATTATAGTTAATCAGCTTAAACGATTATGTCGTATATTATACAGGTGTGTTGGAGTGGTTGGGCAGAACAAAACAGAGTTCTATTCTCGTAAATCACGTACATATTAAGTATTGTAGTTTACCTTAGATTACAGTTAATCAGCTTAAAAGATTATGTCGTATATTATACAGGTGTGTTGGAGTGGTTGGACAGAACAAAACAGAGTTCTATTCTCGTAAATCACGTACATATTAAGTATTGTAGTTTACCTTAGATTACAGTTAATCAGCTTAAACGATTATGTCGTTTATTATACAGGTGTGTTGGAGTGGTTGGGCAGAACAAAACAGAGTTCTATTCTCGTAAATCACATACATTCATAGTTATATTCATAGTTACATTTGCTAAAAATTTCATTGGATCGTATTGTTTCTGATGAAACATTTCCAGGCCAGCTTTAATATGTCTATCATGTGGCCAAACCGTTACAATTGTTACCTCCCTTGGTCACGCCAGTAACCAGTGATTGTGGAATAGTTACTTAGTTACTTTCTGAGACTTTTCTGCTATAAATGGATAACTGATACTGCGAAAAAAGGATTTAAAACCAGCTCACTTATTCATTTAGCTTGCACGAGTGAGTATGGTTTTACGCCGCTTTTAGCAATATCCCAGCAAAATCACGGCGGGGCATCATACATAGCCTTCGCACATTGTACCCATGTGGGGAATCGAACCCGGGTCTTTGGCGTGTCGAGCGACCCTTTACCCACTAGGCTACCCCAGTACTTCAGTGAAACCCACGAGATGTGTTGCTAACAAACCTATAAACAGGGCGAACGGGGATTCGAACCTATGATCACAGGTTTCTATCACACTAAAGGGACGTCACTCTGTACAACGAATCGTGGGGTCTTTGATGACTGTGTAATCTATTATTCCAATAGAATCATTCTATTTTTAATTTCAGATTTACAATCACTTACTTCGGTCCTGTCTTGGGCTACTTTGTCAACTCAATCAACAATCTGGAGGGAGATTATGCTGAAAACACGTCCTGGCGGGTGACGGATGTTGACTTCAACTCCCATAAATTGGGTAATTACAAGTTTTATAAGATAAAGTCCCTAGCACCAGGTACACAATTACAGGGTTGCTTCCCTTGGCACTGGTGGATGTTCGTGATTCGTTACTGACCTTTAAATGTCCTTGACACTGTTTAGAGTGAGTGAGTTTAGTTTTACGCCGCTTTTAGCAATATTCCAGCAATATCACGGCGGGGGACACCAGAAATAGGCTTCACACATTGTACCCATGTGGGGAGTCGAAACCGGGTCTTCGGCGTGACGAGCGAACTCTTTAACCACTAGACTACCCCACCGCCCCTGACACTGTGTAGAGTTGTTTGTTTGTTGTATAACGTCGCATTCAGCAATATTCAAGCGATATGGCGACGGTCTGAAAATAATCAAGTCTGGACCAAACAATTCAGTGAGCATGAGAAATTGAGATCTACGCACAGGAGCGGTGGGGTAGTCCAGTGGTTAAAGCATTCGCTCGTCACGCCGAAGAACCTGGTTCAAATCCCCGCATGGGTGCAATGTATGAAGCCTATTTCTGGTGTCCCCTGCCGTGATATTGCTGGTATATTGCTAAAAGCGGCGTAAAACCCAACTCACTCACCCACTCTACGCAATTGTGATACGATGACATGTGTCAGCTAAGTCAGCGAACATGACCATATTGTGGAGAAACGTAGATTTTTCTCATCGTATCATCCGTGGCACGGTGTAGATAAGTAGATATTTGTCACATCAGTGTCGTGGTACGGTGTAGATAAGTAGATATTTGTCACAGTAGTGTCGTGTTACGGTGTAGATAAGTAGATATTTGTCACATCAGTGTCGTGGTACGGTGTAGATAAGTAGATATTTGTCACATCAGTGTCGTGGTACGGTGTAGATAAGTAGATATTTGTCACATCAGTGTCGTGGTACGGTGTAGATAAGTAGATATTTGTCACATTGTGTAGTGTCGTGTTACGGTGTAGATAAGTAGATATTTGTCACATCAGTGTCGTGGTACGGTGTAGATAAGTAGATATTTGTCACAGTAGTGTCGTGTTACGGTGTAGATAAGTAGATATTTGTCACATCAGTGTCGTGTTACGGTGTAGATAAGTAGATATTTGTCACATCAGTGTCGTGTTACGGTGTAGATAAGTAGATATTTGTCACATCAGTGTCGTGGTACGGTGTAGATAAGGAGATATTTGTCACATCAGTGTCGTGTTACGGTGTAGATACGGAGATATTTGTCACAGTAGTGTCGTGGTACAGTGTAGATAAGTAGACATTTGTTACAGTAGTGTCGTGTTACGGTGTAGATACGGAGATATATTTCACAGTAGTGACGTGTTACGGTGTAGATACGGGGATATATTTCACAGTAGTGTCGTGTTACGGTGTAGATACGGAGATATATTTCACAGTAGTGTCGTGTTACGGTGTAGATACGGAGATATATTTCACAGTAGTGTCGTGTTACGGTGTAGATACGGAGATATATTTCACGCAGTAGTGTCGTGGTACGGTGTAGATACGGAGATATATATTCACAGTAGTGTCGTGTTACGGTGTAGATACGGAGATATATTTCACAGTAGTGTCGTGTTACGGTGTAGATACGGAGATATATTTCAGTAGTGTCGTGTAGTGTAGATACGGAGATATATTTCACAGTAGTGACGTGTTACGGTGTAGATACGGAGATATATTTCACAGTAGTGTCGTGTTACGGTGTAGATACGGAGATATATTTCACGGTAGTGTCGTGTTACGGTGTAGATACGGAGATATATTTCACAGTAGTGACGTGGTACGGTGTAGATACGGAGATATATTTCACAGTAGTGTCGTGTTACGGTGTAGATACGGAGATATATTTCACAGTAGTGACGTGTTACGGTGTAGATACGGAGATATATTTCACAGTAGTGTCGTGTTACGGTGTAGATACGGAGATATATTTCACAGTAGTGTCGTGTTACGGTGTAGATACGGAGATATATTTCACAACAGTGTCTTGGTACGGTGTAGATACGGAGACATTTGTTACAGTAGTGTCGTGTTACGGTGTAGATACGGAGATATATTTCACAGTAGTGACGTGTTACGGTGTAGATACGGAGATATATTTCACGGTAGTGTCGTGTTACGATGTAGATACGGAGATATATTTCACAGTAGTGTCGTGTTACGGTGTAGATACGGAGATATATTTCACAGTAGTGTCGTGTTACGGTGTAGATACGGAGATATATTTCACAGTAGTGACGTGTTACGGTGTAGATACGGAGATATATTTCACAGTAGTGTCGTGTTACGGTGTAGATACGGAGATATATTTCACAGTAGTGTCGTGTTACGGTGTAGATACGGAGATATATTTCACAGTAGTGTCGTGTTACGGTGTAGATACGGAGATATATTTCACAGTAGTGTCGTGTTACGGTGTAGATACGGACACAGTAGTGTCGTGTTACGTGTAGATACGGAGATATATTTCACAGTAGTGTCGTGTTACGGTGTAGATACGGAGATATTTTTCACAGTAGTGTCGTGGTACGGTGTAGATACGGAGATATATTTCACAGTAGTGTCGTGTTACGGTGTAGATACGGAGATATATTTCACAGTAGTGTCGTGTTACGGTGTAGATACGGAGATATATTTCACAGTAGTGTCGTGTTACGTGTAGATACGGAGATATATTTCACAGTAGTGTCGTGTTACGGAGTAGATACGGAGATATATTTCACGGTAGTGTCGTGTTACGGTGTAGATACGGAGATATATTTCACAGTAGTGTCGTGTTACGGTGTAGATACGGAGATATATTTCACAGTAGTGTCGTGTTACGGTGTAGATACGGAGATATTTTTCACAGTAGTGTCGTGGTACGGTGTAGATACGGAGATATTTGTCACAGTAGTGTCGTGTTACGGTGTAGATACGGAGATATATTTCACAGTAGTGTCGTGTTACGGTGTAGATACGGAGATATATTTCACAGTAGTGTCGTGTTACGGTGTAGATACGGAGATATTTCACGCAGTAGTGTCGTGTTACGGTGTAGATACGGAGATATATTTCACAGTAGTGTCGTGTTACGGTGTAGATACGGAGATATATTTCACAGTAGTGTCGTGTTACGGTGTAGATACGGAGATATATTTCACAGTAGTGTCGTGTTACGGTGTAGATACGGAGATATATTTCACAGTAGTGTCGTGTTACGGTGTAGATACGGAGATATATTTCACAGTAGTGTCGTGTTACGGTGTAGATACGGAGATATATTTCACAGTAGTGTGTCGTGTTACGGTGTAGATACGGAGATATATTTCACAGTAGTGTCGTGTTACGGTGTAGATACGGAGATATATTTCACAGTAGTGTCGTGTTACGGTGTAGATACGGAGATATATTTCACAGTAGTGTCGTGTTACGGTGTAGATACGGAGATATATTTCACAGTAGTGTCGTGTTACGGTGTAGATACGGAGATATATTTCACAGTAGTGTCGTGTTACGGTGTAGATACGGAGATATATTTCACAGTAGTGTCGTGTTACGGTGTAGATACGGAGATATATTTCACAGTAGTGTCGTGTTACGGTGTAGATACGGAGATATATTTCACAGTAGTAGTGTCGTGTTACGGTGTAGATACGGAGATATATTTCACAGTAGTGTCGTGTTACGGTGTAGATACGGAGATATATTTCACAGTAGTGTCGTGGTACGGTGTAGATAGTGTCGGAGATATATTTTTCACAGTAGTGTCGTGTTACGGTGTAGTGTAGATACGGAGATATATTTCACAGTAGTGTCGTGTTACGGTGTAGATACGGAGATATATTTCACAGTAGTGTCGTGTTACGATGTAGATACGGAGATATATTTCACAGTAGTGTCGTGTTACGGTGTAGATACGGAGATATATTTCACAGTAGTGTCGTGTATATTCACGTGTAGATACGGAGATATATTTCACATAGTAGTGTCGTGTTACGGATAGATACGGAGATATATTTCACAGTAGTGTCGTGTTACGGTGTAGATACGGAGATATATTTCACAGTAGTGTCGTGGTACGGTGTAGATACGGATATATATTTCACAGTAGTGTCGTGTTACGGTGTAGATACGGAGATATATTTCACAGTAGTGTGTCGTGTTACGGTGTAGATACGGAGATATATTTCACAGTAGTGTCGTGTTACGGTGTAGATACGGAGATATATTTCACAGTAGTGTCGTGTTACGTGTAGATACGGTGTAGATACGGAGATATATGGTTAGATACAGATATTTGTCACAGTAGTGTCGTGTTACGGTGTAGATACGGAGATATATTTCACAGTAGTGTCGTGTTACGGTGTAGATACGGAGATATATTTCACAGTAGTGTCGTGTTACGGTGTAGATACGGAGATATATTTCACAGTAGTGTCGTGTTACGGTGTAGATACGGTAGATATATTTCACAGTAGTGTCGTGGTACAGTGTAGATACGGAGACATTTGTTACAGTAGTGTCGTGTTACGGTGTAGATACGGAGATATATTTCACAGTAGTAGTGACGTGTTACGGTGTAGATACGGAGATATATTTCACGGTAGTGTCGTGGTACGATGTAGATACGGAGATATATTTCACAGTAGTGACGTGTTACGGTGTAGATACGGAGATATATTTTCACAGTAGTGTCGTGTTACGGTGTAGATACGGAGATATATTTCACAGTAGTGTCGTGTTACGGTGTAGATACGGAGATATATTTCAGTGACGTAGTGTACGTGTTATATTTCACAGTGTGTCGTGTACGAGATACGGAGATATATTTCACAGTAGTGTCGTGTTACGTGTAGATACGGAGATATATTTCACAGTAGTGTCGTGTTACGGTGTAGATACGGAGATATATTTCACAGTAGTGACGTGTTACGGTGTAGATACGGAGATATATTTCACAGTAGTGTCGTGTTACGGTGTAGATACGGAGATATATTTCACAGTAGTGTCGTGTTACGG